GCCATATTGTACTAACTAGTAAAAGAAAATGAAGCAAATAGGGCTTGTATAAGGTTTGCACATTCTTTTTTTCTGGCTAAGAGTTATGCTGTGACTACTTTTTGTGTGATATATGGTATTAGAAGCTAAAATTTCTCTCTTGTGTCCATGTTTCACACTCCTCTGTTCTCTTTTAGTTTCCCTAAACTTCTTATTTTGATAAGGCCTGAGTTGTTCAGGAATTCCAGGTGTAATCTCCTATTATTAAATAGGAGTTTTATTGCTGTGTTGGTAAGGTAAGATTTAAGAAGGGAAGTTTTCTCTTATTAGGAAATACTTTCTGATTAGGATTATATGATTAAGGAACTTTTATGATAAAGTCTCTGTCTTGATTCTGGGCTGTTACTTTCATAAATGCTTTTCTTCTTCATTCGCCACTTCAAGAAGGCAAGGGAGCTGGAGTTGGCGGTTTTACTTCCCGTGAATCAAGGACTCGTAGGGGCTAGACTGTTTATACCAGTTATTGACTCCGGCAGTCAGATTCTGTTTGTAATTTGCTGTGATACTCTTTATTCTCCCGTCTCTTCTGTGTTTTGAGTATTTGCCTCCTTGATGGCAACAATCCTCTGATGGATCTGAGAAGAGTTGTTGATTTTCAATTTGGTGAGCATTGGTCTGGTGAGAATGTTAGCCCTGACTTCCATGCCTTTCTCATGTCAGACTGGAAGTTTATGCATCTAGAATTGTGATTAGGCTAGACTAGAATTATGACTTGGGTTAATGTATTATTTCTAGACTCCTATATGAATAGGAGAGACATTCATTTCAGATGAAAATTAATATATCATAATAGATGTCTGTCTAATTGGAAAATAGACTAAAAAAGGTAACAACAATAATAAACTAATAGGTAATATTTATTGAGTTTAACATGTAATGTGTATTTCAGAGTGTTTACATGAATAATCTTATTCAATTCTTATAACCACTTCAATTGGCAAATATTATTATTATCACATATTTTTGTTTTATTTTGTGTAGTGTTGGCCCTGGGGCTTAAACTCAGGGTCTGCTCTTTTGTGCAATGCTAGCACTCTACTGCTTAAGCCACAGCTCTACTTCCAGCTCTTTTGGAGAGAAGAGTCCTGACAAGGATGGCTTGGAACTGCAATCCTTAGATGGCAGCTTCTTGAGTAACTAGGATTACATTCATGAGCCTGACTAACTACCACCTATTTTTAACAGGTATAGCAACTGAGGCTTAGAATGATTTGGTAGTATGCTTAAGAACATACAACTTGGTGTTATGACTCCAGTTTGATTTGAAAATGTATATCCTTAATGAATGTGGGATACCAATAACATAAAGAAGATAACTGGAGAAGAAGGTGTTGTGTGATATCTAACAGCTATAAATCACATTTATCCAGTGGCAGAAACTAGGATTGTGGTTGAAGGCCAGCCAGAGTAAAAGTGAGACTTCATCTCTACAGAGCCAATGGGCATAGTAGTGCACTTTTTATTGTTTTCAAGTTAAGAGGCCATAGGAGACTTGTAATCTGACATAGACTAGGCAAAAACATATCAGACTGAACTGAAAAATAACTAAAGCAAAAAGGGTGAGAGGTGAGGCCCAGGTGGTAGAATGCATACCTAGCAAGACCAACGACCTGAGTTCATGCTCAACACACACAACACACACACACACACACACACACACACACACACACACACACACACACCATGAAGCTGTTAAACTTAGGCAATATTTTCCTTCAACCAAATCTTCAAATTGGTATAGTTTATTTTAATAGTCTAAAGGGCAATGAATAGTAAGGAAAATTTAATTAAGGTCACTATTAGAAGCTTGCACACATTTGAGCTTTTGGCTGTTTGTCCTAGTCTCTTTAGGCTTGCTCTATGGGTTTAAAAGGTAATGGTCTGTCAGAATTAAATAGTTCTGGGGAAGTGGGGTTTGGCAATACTGTTAGCCCATTAGGTAAGGGGCAGGAGAGAAGCACACAGCATTTAAGATTTTCAGACAAGTGTTTAAGAGAAGAAATACTGCAAATAATGGAGTAAAGAGCTTTGAAATCTTCTGATAGTATACACATATGCCCACAACTAGCTATGTATAATGAGCAACAAAGTAACTATAAAAGTTGGATAGGAACAGCAGTAAGGTCATCTCTGTGAAGTGATAAGAAAGATACAATAAATGCTCTTATAATCAAAATATAGTTCCTTTATTCATTTACCAGTGTGAGTGTTGGAGGGTCTTCTTGGAGCTATGTGTTTTTAGTGGGCAAAAGTATTAGTTTTCTGGTAGACAAATGAGGAAAAACTTGTTTTTATCTGATTAGTTCATTTGCAGTCATTTTCACAAAACAGAATAAGAGAAACATGGTCCAGGAAAAGGAACGTTTAGAGATAGCAAATAGTTTCTGTAGTGGATGACCTCTGTAATTGGACATAGTATTGTATTGGACATAGTAATGTTCAATAAAATTATAGTGAGTAAACTCTGCAAGCCTCTTATTTCTTGCTACTCAGATGATAGTTAATACTATTATCCTCAATAATGTAAAGTAGGAAAAGGAGACCTGAATAAGTTAAGCAGAATTTTCCAAGATCACAAAACTCATGTTAACTCTGGATTTTGACCTAAATGTTTATTAACATAAAGCTAGTTTTTATTTATTACCCTGTCTTCAAAGGAGTGAGATAACCTGAGTTTATTTTTCTTAAGCCACAACATAAAAATATAAACAAACAAAACTATCTCCATTGGGTACAGAGTAGCCTTTACAAGTCCAGATGGCAACTTGGAAAGGTTTTGGATTTATCTAGACGTGTCTCAAAGAACATATAAGATTCCAGGATGTTCTTCATCAGGAGTAATTTTTTAAAAGATATCTCCACATTCTTTAGTTTTTACTTCCTGGGAAAATGCAAAGCCAGGGGCAGATAAAATAAAAATGGTCAGAACTAATTGCATATGGACTTTCCCCTCAAATGACATTAGAAAACAAGCTCATTTATCTTTGAATAAAATAAATGTGTGGGCTCATTTGCCTGCCCCCCCACCTCTTTGTGAATGTGTGGGAGCTCAATTTTCATTTCCTTTTCCTCTCAAAATGCCCAGAGGGACCATATTTTTGTTTAATGACCTTCAGAATGATTCTTTAGAAATCTGAGGCTATCAGAGTAGGAAGCAATGCGAAAATAATTGTGGATTATTATTGTATGATGACAGTGGCAGCTGGGCTGAGTTTTTTTTTCTCTCTGTTCAGACCTTCTTCATTTTCCCAGAAACCTTATATCCCAAGGTTTAACTCAGAAGCAAATCTCATATAGGTGATAAACCTTGCCAGACATGGTACGTAATATAATTTCAGACAGACCCTTAACTGTTATTCACAAAGACTCTAGGGAGTGAAACAGCCTCATATCTAGATGTCCTCTATAATATTACTTATATTTGCTTTCTAAAAAATGTGTGTGGGTAGTTGTTTTGGACATAAATCAAGCATATCTCTAAAATATTATATATCTGTAAATTTAATGCTGATTTTTGTTTTGTTGTTAAAATGCCTGCTAATAGAAAAAAAAACATGATAATGAAAAACTAACAAATAGGTACTTCAATTTCCCAAAGAATTTTAAAGCAAATATACAGGTACCCACATCTGGAGCCTGAGACACAAAACATGTCCAATATTGTTTTAGGACATGTGCATGGAGGGAAGGGGTGAGGTGGAATAGATATAAATGTTGTACATTCTATAGTGGGGAAAGTGCAAAGTACTTTCCAACTATGGCCTGCATAATCTGCCTCATCATCCATGTCATTATTGACTCAACAGACTTGGAATTTAGATGATAAAATGCTTTGGCCTTGTTTGTTATCCCTTCCCAGCTCTCCCTTGTGCTTTTTCTAGTTTGTACACTGTGTGGCTACCACTTTGGTTAAAAATTTATGATGAGTAATAGAGAGATGAGGATAATATGTGAAAAGGAGACAATTCCAAAAAAAGATGAAGCCACTTGGCTGAGTATTCTGACACATTGGTTATTGCTATATTCTTGTAAGTATCTGGAAAATTGTTATACATTCATTTCTAGGAAAGTCCAATCTAGTAGCAAGCCTCCCTCACATTCCTATCCAGAAAGTAAGAGAATTGGCTTCAAAACTCACAGTTTAGTCTCTGCTTATATATTATTGAACTAGCAAAGTAAGTGGATGGTTTTTCCATGCCATTTCTATAACAAAGTATATCTAGCCGTGTTTCAGGAGAACTCCTTAATCTTGATTTTCTAGACTGTACACTTCCAATGGATTTCTTGGTCACAAGGAGGATGATTCTAGCATATCAGTATTAGTTTTTACAATAATTAATGAACCAATTGTAAACTTCATTGCCAGTGGAAAAGCCTATATTGAATAATTAATAATATTTAAGATTCCCACAGTGTATGCTAAATGACTAAATGAATCATAATCTCTTATGACTAGAAATATCAATGTAAGCTAGAAAGAACCAGAACATTATAATAATATTTAGCAGCACTTTTATTTCTAATTTTTGTTTATTTTTCCCCTCATTTCGTTTTTTGTGCCAGTCATGTTTTTTTTTTGGTGGTTAATTGGAAAAAAGAGTCTCAAAAACTTTTCTGCATTTTGATGACAGTCACCCTATTTCATTTTTGCTAATCAGTCTCCCTCATCTACTAGCAACTTTTAAGATTTGATTGTATCTCTTTTGGGGAGCTTTATACTTTTCTATTTTGACACATTGCCTCTAATGTCTCATTAAACTTGGTTTTTAAATTGGCCCATATGATAATAGTTAATGATATATGAGCTGGTCCTAGTGAGATATGACTATGATGCACTTAACCCTTAGGTAATTACTGAAATATAAAAAGAATTCAAAAATGTGAAAGTACTAAATTGTCAGGCCTAAAATATTATAATGGGAATATTGTTTTTTACTTACTTGTAAATATTTTCTCTGCAGGAATGCAAGCCAAAAATGTGGAGAAGCATAATAATACAAAAGGGAAATGCTCTTCTAATCCAGGAAGTTCAAGAAGAAGATGGAGGAAATTACACGTGTGAACTTAAGTATGAAGGAAAACTTGTAAGAAGAACAACTGAATTGAAAGTTACAGGTAGGGATTCTTTCTACCAAATTAATGAAAATGAGATTTTTCATTATAATTTACTTTAGGAAGATATAATTTTGTTTAAGGAGAAAACTTACTATGAATTTATATTTGTCAGCAAATCAAACATTTGAAAACCTCACTGTTAATAAATTGTGCTAAACAAAATTTATGTGGCGAATACAAGTAATTGATTTAGGGGGCAAGGACACAATCTCTAACTTTATGAAAGATTCTTAGCTATGTAATCTATCAACAGTTACTGCAGACCTCAGCTTGGCTTAGCCTTTGTGTGTATTCTCCATGTTGGCGAATTCTGCATTCATAGTGAGCTTCTATTGGGATTTTGGAATGAAATCATACTGGGCAATATCCCTAAGTATTGGTAGAGGGTAGAGTAATAGCAACCCGTGGCAAGCACAGTAAAAATTAGGGAATTGTAAGTCATTATTTAGGATGAATAAGTCTAATTATGTAATGTGCAATGTGAGAACTATAAGATGATACTGTATTATATCATTGAAACTTGTTAAAAGAGTAGATTTCAGATACTACCATAACAGATAGAAGATAACTATATGAGGGGATAGGCATAATTTTCTTGATCATAGTCATTATTTCACCCTGTGTATATAATAACAGGGGTATACTTTTAAAGAGTTATTGTGTATGCATTTAAATGCATACATTTGTATTGCAGGTAAAATCTGAACCATGATAAACTTGGAAATTATTGATTATATTATTTTATTTCTGACTAATGTTTTAATGATATAATGTTGGTATCAGCCAGCTGGCTAATTATAATGTAACCTCCCTGATGTCTGGATTACATTACAATTGCTTATATTTGGCTATCTTTTGAAGGTAGTGTAAAGATCATCCAAATAAAATTGTTACTTGCTGTGTTCAGTCAGTCATGTTTCAAATTTTTGACCCTCAAGATTTGATTTAGTTCTCAGTATCATAATAAATGATACTATGTTTTAGTTTGAATTTGGAGAGCAGTTTCTGAGAAAGTTTAAGTAGTTCTTTGCATTAGAATTTCATGTTCTTTTCCCCCACGAGCTTTCAAAATAACTACCATGTTGGACCAATTCCAAATAGAATGGTACTGCTTTTGATTAACTTCTGAATTTCTTACTGTGAACTAGACTTAATTCATTCATAGCACAAGATTCTATTGAGTAGTTATGCACAAATAACCTGTATCCTGACCATGTAAGGCATAGTCACTTAGACCATAACCACCAATTCTCATCAGATGTATGCAAAAGCACTTACCTTTGGCAATCATATACTAAATTTTGTAACTTTATAGCATTTGACTAATTTTTAAATACCAAGCTTTATTTTTTAGAATGATGGTCACAAGTTTGCTCCCACTTTTTCATTTTAGATTTTCAAAAAGCAGAACTAGAATTACTTATTGTGCATGTTTTTTTGTTTGTTTTGTTATGGTGTTTGAACTCTGGGCGTGGGCACTGTCCCTCAGGTCTTCAGCTCAAGGCAAGTGCTCTACCACTTGAGTCACAGTGCCACTTCTGGTTTTCTGGTGGCTAATTGAAGATAAGAGTCTCACAGACTTTCCTGCCTGGGCTGGCTTTGAACTGCGATACTCAAATCTCAGCCTCTTGAGTAGTTAGGATTGCAGATGTGGGCTACCAGCACCCAGCTTATACATGTTTTATAAGATGTTAATTTACTTTCTCAAACTTTTAGAATTTCATCTGAATATCTTGTAGAAGTTCTCAAATTTTGATAGGCATCTTGATGATGTTGAGAGACCAAGCAAGGATGAGGATCACAATTTTAAATACAGCCTGACATTTTAATTGAGTATATTAGTAATACCATTTCCCTTTCTTGTCCACATGATTATTTTTATAGCCTTTAAATATCACACTTTGGGAAATACCAGATGATAGAATGATGCTAAACATGTGAAAGTCATATATTTGCTTTCCTTTGTGAGAATGTTTTTTCATTCCCATAAAACTAACACATTTCCTTAGGCTCCAAATTGTTTCTTTAAACTCCTTAGAATTATCATGAAAATTCAGGACATTGGTAACCAAGGGAAACATATCCAGAGTGTATGTGTGCAAAGCAACCTCTTTCAATCAATGAAAGCAGGTATTTATTCACTTACCACATAAACAAAAATTTGCTAAATATGTCTTAGATATACAGAAATTACCTAGGAGCTAATAAAGTCATCCAAAATTTATTCCTAATTATCTTAAGGTCAATGGCTATCATTCACATGAGAAGATATAAATTTGATCTATTTATTCACATGGTCTTTGTTTTTTGCCTATCCTAGGGCTTGAACTCAGCGTCTGGGCTCTGTCCCTGAGCCTCTTTGTGCTCAAGGCTAATGCTCTTGAGTACTACTTGAGCCACAGAGCCACTTCATGTTTTTTCTGAATAGTTTATTATAGATTAAGGTCTCACAGATGCCTGGGATTGGCTTTGAACAATGATCCTTAGATCTCAGCCTCCTAAGTAGTTAGGATTACAAGTGTCAGCCATAGGTGCCCAGTTTATTCATACAACTTAAATGTTATGCTTGATGTAGAAACAATGGTGCTTCTGGAAATGGAAGTGTAAGAGGTCTCTCTGGTAGGCTGATTCTTTGCAGTATTACATTCTTTGTATACTCAGTATATAAAGCAATTAAACAGATTATGTTTTCAATTCAAAATATAAGGCAAAGAATAGTTTAAATAGTAACCTACTGAGCCTTGTTTTGAGTTTAGCAGTATATTAAAATGGGATTAAAATTCAATATGTAGTTAATAGGATTGATTAGTTATAAAACTATGTACGGTGAGATTATTTAAAAGTGGTGTACTCCAAACATGCAAGTTTCCAAATTTTAAAAGATTATTTTCTAGTTTTTCTTTTAAAGTGTAAATTCTGCAGTCAAATGAGTGGGAATGTAGAAAGAGGTGACATTGATCAAGATACATTGTATTCATAGACTGCTTTTTAAGTGGCAACTCCTTCGTGCAGCAATTTAAAATAATACAAAAAGAAGAAAAATGTAAATTCTGAGAATACATCTTCAACAAAGCAAGTTTTATTCTTAAGGTTTATAGCTAATGCTTTGTTTAAGTACACGAAGAATGAAACAGATTCAGGTTCTAGATATTAAATACTGATAAAATAGAAGATATTCTTTTTCTTAAGGAAGATTTCTTCATATTAAAAAATTCTCCAGAGTATTCCTTAAATAGTTTTCTTCCTGTATTAAACTAGGATTTGTCTTACATGTTACTTTTCTATAACATTTATATTGCATAAACCATAGCATACCTAATATTATTGTGGAAATTTCTTTTTATTCCCTCAGAAGATGCAGATAATAGGGAGAGGCATAAGAACCTATTTAGCTCATTTACCAAAGATGCCCACAGCTAACAGTTTTTTTTCCCATGGCATATTTTAGTTGGTTATTTGCTATTTTATAGATTTTTGTTCCCTTTATTCTCACATTGAATTTGCTAGCTGAAGTGATAAGGAAAGGTAGGAACATTGGTTGCAAGAAGGTGAGATTATAGAGTAGGTGATAATGGAAGGTGGAAAAGAATGGGAGAGGATGAGTGGAATAATAGAATGCCATCTCTTGAGATGAGAGGGGTAGGTCTGCCTTGAGCAGGTCAAAGGCAGATATAAAATCATTGGAACTTTTAAAAATGAAGAAAAGCACAAAGCCAACACTAGCTTTATTTGGATAATTAATTCACCATTCATCTGGCAAATCATTCACAAATGTATGCTTCTATGCAGCCTTTTAGAAATGATCATTGGCCATTTAACCTATTTTCTGGTGAATATGCAAATATCTTTCTTCCTGAGGAATACAGACAAATCTTCAGTTCCTGATTGGGGTATTTCATATGTTAAGAGACAATATCTTAACCAATTGGTTTCTGTGAGAGTGTTCCTTATATAATATGATTCAAAGACCTGGCTGTTGGTAACAATTTACAGTAGTACCAAAGCATTCTGGGTACACAAAGCTTGGTGGGTCTGAAAAATGTGTTTTGGAATCAGTCAAATGGATGACTATAGCAAGAACTTTGTAGAGTTCAACTAGTGCATTGTTCCTCACGTATTTAAGACTATGTAGTTTGTTAGAATGATTTCCTTTTTGTGTGGAAAATGACAGTTATTTACACACAGAGGAAGGAATTTCACATTCATATTGGAAAATATGTTGTTTATGAATCTGGCTGTCAGATCATCTATGCCTTCTCTGGGAATGCTGTGACAGTAGCGCGAGGATAAGTTTGGAGAAACAGTAGAAACTAGTGATATGGTAGAGTTGGTGGATATTAGACTGAGGAAAGACAATGAAATAGGAGAAGTGGTCTCTAGGAGCAAACTATGTAAGAATTAAAACTATGGCTTCCAGAAAGTTAGATACCAATTGATTAGTTCCTGTGTGACATTCATTTTCTTTTTTTTTGGTCCAGTTGTGGAGCCTGAACTCTGGGCCTGAGCACTGTCCCTTAGCTCTTCAGCTCAAGGCTAGCACTCTACCACTTGAGCCACAGCGCCACTTCCGGCTTTTTTCTTTTTGCTTATGTGGTGCTGAGGAATTGAACCCAGGGCCTCAGGCATGCAAGACAAGCGTTCTACCTGAGCCACCTTCCCAGCCCCATGACATTCATTTTTGTATTTCAAGAAACTTCACAAATAAAAAGACACATAGAAATCTAAGTATTTTTGACTCTCAAATCAAGTACAAACCATACATTTCATCCAGAGACTATATACTCTTATCTAAAGAACAGATACAGTACTGGTCATGATGTACATCTTTCCACCATAATATATTACCTCTTTGGGCATTCACTATTTTGTCTTCATTAATTCCACATTGGAATTAGATAGTTTTGGAATTAGTACACTTGACATTTGGGGCCTTGTCCTTCGCTCTCAGTGAGTACTTCAGTTAAAATAATTAGAGATGCTACTCATAATTGAATCTCAGC